GGAGGCAGCAAGATGTACACAAAGCATTCTGGAAGTCTTTCCTTAAGAAAGCAGGCTCCCGCACTCCCAGGATTAACATACTCCCACCAAACTCTGGTCCATTGCCTGAGGCATCTCACTTCCTTCTCCAGAGAACCAGATGCAGGCACAGAAGAAATGGTCACTTCTCCATGAACTTGGCCAGTTCAGTCTTGCTCCCTACTGTTGCACCCTCAGAGTGGCTTCCTCCCTGGTGCCCCTCCTGTTCCCTACCAGATCTAGATGAAGTTGCTCCTATCTGGCTGGCAATGCTGCACTCCTAGGCCTCCTGCTGGCTGGCTACCCTTAACTACCTACACACCTGTCCTGCGGGTCTACTGGACTCTTACACCAGGCCTCACTCAGAGTCTCTAACTCACCTGCTACCAGCTGCCCAGAACTCACTTCTGTATGCACCTCAGTCCACAAAATTCATTCTCTACCCTACACTGTGCAGTATCCCTGAAACAAACACATTGCAGAGCACCATATAAAAGCTACAAAAAAAATCCTTTATGATACAAGCTCATTACCACTAAATTTCTTCATTACTATATAATAACCTTGGCAGTCAAACTGGTTGAAACAAATAGAACTCAAGACCATACAAGTGAAGGCTAAGACCAGGCATGCACTTTTAATCCCAGCACTCAGAGACAAGAAACAAGAGAAGGACAGCCTGGTATACATGTGAGTTCCGGGACAACCAGTGCTATATGGTCAGACCCGGTCTTCAAAACAACAAACAAACAAGCAAAGAAAACCAAAACAAAAAAGTGAGGACTAGAGCACAGAGATGGAAGGAACTTCAGGATTTCAGCTCAGCCCAGGCCAGCCCAGGCCAAGGGTTCTAGGGACCCAGAAAACAGCCCTACTCATTATGTTGTGTTGACACAGTCTTCGCCTCCTTCCATGTGATGGTTCAGACTGACAGAATATTGTTAAACTATAGAAGGGACCAAATTAAAGCACTGATCTTGGATTGCACAGGCCTCCCTCAAAGCGATTACTTTATTTGTAACCTGACACTGGCCAGGCCTCTCACTAAGACCTTAGAGATAAGAAAACAGACAGAAGGATCCTGGCTCTGCCTGGATCTGAGGCCATCAGCTAGGTCACCATAGATGTCTCTCCTAATGGATACCTACTTTCTCTAAGCAGACCTTCAAACAAGGAAGTTCAAATACACTGTAGACACAGGGTAGTGCCAAAAACTGAGTGCATGAGTGATCAGGTGACAATGCCTGGGTTTCCTGGTAGCCAGCCAGTTACCAGTATCTAGGTTCACGTTAACATCAAGAAAGACAAGAGCAATTATTGGAAGGGAAATGGACAGGAAATAAAGAATGGCTCCTTGTTCTTCCAGCAGACCTCAGGCACATCAGTCCTCACACCACTATTTGCAGGGGACCTGCCTCGCAGTCAGAGGTCTAAGAGCTGAGTAACCACAGCCTGCCTGGGCATATCCCAACAGTGAGGGCTTCAGTGCAGGACGAGACCAGTAGCACCATTCAGAACCTCCTTCACAAACTGAACTAACCCAAGCCCTTTCCTCAGGCTGCTCACAGCACTGGAAACAGTTATTTAGAGCAATAAATCCCAACAGCTAGGCGGCTTTTACGTCAGAGAGCCAGGGCCTGGCTCTAGCAAAGTCCAGAAAGAACGGCAATAAAATCATAACGCAGGCCTCACCCAGCACCACAGGGAGTTTAAAGGAAAACAGAGGAGAGAAGAGTTATACACAGCAAATAAAAAGGCCACTTCATCAACAGGCCAAAGCCAAGCTGCCCTGCCAATGTGAGAGAGGACCCAAAGGCCACAGGACTCCACCAGGACCTAATGTGCAACCATCACTGCACCAGGCCACACAGGAGCATGCAGGAGTGAGCCAGGCAGGCCAGGGCATGGGACCAGAGAGAAGACACTGGGTCGCAGAAGAAGGAAGACAGACAACCTCGAGACAGTGACTATCCTGGCTCCCTAGCTTGGTCCCAGCATAGTCACAAGTTTCCTGTTCCGGGTAGCAAATCTAAGGTTGGAGAGTTCTGTGGAGGAGGCTGTAATCAACCTGTACAAGGCTCCAGGCTCAATTCCCAATATTAAAAATAATGAGTTTGGTAATCGACTATTAATTCTCTTTCTTCCCAAAATCCACTAAATTCAAAATATAAACTGTGGAAGGATTCAAGGCAATGCCTAACAATGAGAAAAGCCCAGAAGACTTACTCACCTGAAACTACAAGGTCAAGAAGCAAAGATGTGTCACCAGTAAGGACCTATGGCCTAGGCACAGAGCCAGCTCCCTTCTTGGTATTCAGGACTGTGATATGCCATATGGAGGGCACCTGTTATATGGCTGCAGAAAATAATCTGCAGAAGACCACAGGGCTGGAGAGGCAGGAGTCTCAGCAAGTTCCAAACCCTGGACAAACAGCTCAGCCACAGACATGCAAACATTCTGAGGTCTCAGCACAAAGCAGCTCATTGCAAGACACAGAGGCACACACAACTCTACACAAGAGAAAGAGCCAACAAAACCCCAAGGACAGACAAACAAGCAGAGGGGCTGGAGGTGAAGCTCAATGGTAGAGCACTTGCCTGGTGTGCAAGAGGTTCCAAGATTGATCCTCAACTAAGGGAGGGAAGGAGGAGGAAGGGAAATAAGTGAATAATGATAGGTAAAATTCCCCACACAAAGGGCAAAGAGTCTCTGAAGGAGAAAGCCAGGATCCAGCTGACCCCATTCACAAGGATAAGGCTTGAAAAAAGTGGCTGGGAAAAGTCAGAGGTAAGTAGATGGGGCAAGATCCATTAGCCAAAAACAGGCAAGTATTTTACAGAACAAAATAAACACTGTACTCTGGTAAAAGAGCTCATTAATCAAAAGAATAGTCATTAATTTTTAATTGAGCACTGGGGCAAAAACACCAAACTGTATAGAGAAAAATGATTAATAATGTTAAAAGACTATACCAAAATTATAACTACAACAGAACATTTTACTTTTCTCAGAAATCATGAAGACAAAGAATAAAGGGCATCCTGGCTTAAAAACTCAATTGAGTTAATAGATATAGGGACAATGTAACATTTAGGGAGAATGTACTCTTGTACTTAAATAACTAGGTCATACATATGTATGAGAGAATTTTAAACACAGTACGAAGATATACTTACAAACCTCTTTAGACCAACAATGTAATAACAAGAGCACACTTTTCCTTAAGTGCCTGGGTAGTGTGTACAAGATCTGATTATATCTGTATCAGGTCACATAGTATAAACCCCGTTTAGAGAGCAAAGAAAACAATCATTTTTTCCAACATACTAGCAGAAATAAAACAGACTGAATCTACCCAGTGCCAGAATGGTGAAAGTTAGGAAACTATGCCCCCTTATACACTGCAATTAGGAAGTTCAGTCAGACAACATTCTGGAGCAATTTCAGCCATCCTAAAGACATTTTCAACCTGTATGTCTACTAACCCAGCTTCAGTTTTTCACAAGTTATCCTGTGGAAATACTTACAGTACTGTACATAATATATCCATAGTAATTATGTGATATCAATTTGGAGCTATCATGAATATTGCCACAACCACATAAAGCACAGTCACAAACTGTCAGAAGAATGTCAGGTTTATGTGCACACTGACATCACAGATATTCACAACACACTAACATAGAAAAACATCTAACACATTACTTCACATACAGATGTGGGCACAGGGAAGACACACACCTCATCTCACTGCAGAGTGGGAGGCATATCTACATACCAGTATCTACTGTAGCCATTCCAGTCTACACAGCTTAACTTTTTCCTACAATCACCATAAACCATTTCTTTAGAACAATCAATACATGAACAACTGACTCAATAAAACCCTCCTACCTAAATAAAGCCTGGAACCCTGCCCTCTGAAGCTCTCAAATGGATAATGCCCCAGAGAAGTATGTGTGACCACTCTGCTCCCAACAGTCAGGGAGGAAAGGGCCTAGACCCTCCCTAAGCCTCTGCCTCTACCCAATGGAGCAGGTTCAGAAATAGGCTGACAGAACCTCAAGCATCCATCCTAGCTAGCATCTATCCAGCATCCTGTGTGTACCCAGGACAGATACTGACACCTAAAGCTCTATAGACTATACAATACACTAGAAGTAGCCAAAGGCAGCCAGAAGTTCTTCAGGTCAGGGCTCTCTAATTTACCATGGATCATGCATGCTTTGCTACTTTCTAAGTCCAAATCTTATATGTATTTGTTAAGGCCCAAGTACGCAGTTTCTAATCCTGTTCTGCCATTCCAGCTCCTTGACCTGAGAATAATCCTTTGACCCAGCATTTCCAAAGGCATTTAGGGCTACTGAGAATCAGAAAGGCCTGTGAAATGTTTAATATGGCACCAAAGAGCCAGGCGGTGGTGGTCCACACCTATAATCCCAGCAGAGGCAGAGGCAGGCGGATCTCTGTGAGTTCAAGGCCAGCCTGGTCTACAAGAGCTAACTCCAGGACAGGCTCCAAAACTACAGTGAAACCCTGTCTTGGGAGAAAAAAAAAATGGCACCAAAGAAAGCAAGCTAAGACACGGGATTGGCTGTGTGGAACCAAGGCTTCACCCTACTCAGGGTCACCCCAGCAGCACTGCTCCTCACTTGCCCTGACAAGAAACTCACTCTGCAAGTTATCTGCTGATGTTTACCCATCACATACTCAAACACAATTCTTTTTCCTCGTCATCAAGGAAACTGCCTGCCATTTGAGTGGGCATGCAAACCCAGAGCATCCTCTGAATCTCCAGGAGGTCTACAACAGCCCCTTGAACCAAAAGACAAGAACCCCCAGTTACTAAACACTTGGTGATGCTGCACACCAACAGCAACTGCCACAGGAAAGCAAAATCTAAAGCAAAACAAACAGGCTGCAGTGGCAGCAGCAACACATCTGTAACAGGAGCACTAGAAACCAAAGATACAGGCCTTACCTGGATGGCTTTGGGAGCTCATTGCTAGCAGCGTCAGCGCCTTAAGTTCAAAATGGCTCAAAATGTCCACGTAAACAGTAGCTCCAACCAGCTCCAAACTTCCACCAGCACATGCAAGTACAAAACTGAGGAGGCTCGGGTCCCCGCTGCGTAAACTCGAAGTCTCACTGGTAGGGTCTTGTTAACCAAGTAATCCACAAGAAGAGCAGAAGTTGTCACCTGGCCTTACAGAGATGAACCTGCATGGTCAGAGAAGAAAGGAGCCCTCAGTTGGGATGTGAACACTGAATCTGGGCATTACCTAACTAAGGGAAAAGGTTTTCACTCTTTTCTTTGTTTATAAACCCAAGAACCAGAAAAAGTAATTCACACTAAACCAGTTCTATCAGCATGAACCACTGAGGTTTGTCAAAAACTACATGTGAGCAAAACAACATCAGTGAGCAATGTTCCTCATCACTGCTGCACTGCTGACATCACAGAATGGCTACACAGTGGCTGGGTTGTGGAGCTGTTACACTCATGGAAAAACCCAGCAGTATCCCTGACATCCACCCACCAGAAGCATCAGTCAATTATGACATCCAGAAAAGTCTCAGGGGCAAAATCAACTTCGGCTAAAAGTCTTATATAACTATATCAAATACTCTTCCAGAAACTTCCCCACCATCAGGCTTTTGGGAGGAAATAGTATAAAACTTTGTCACTGACACAGATTTAATCCAAGCTGCTCTATTTTGTGCCCCACCTTGCCTTTCCACTGACAAGTGCTCATCCAGACTTCGATGCACATAGCTGCTACCATAAACTTTAGTTCAAATTCCATAACTTACCTCCCATGTGTCCATCTTTATAACTACATTTTCCCAGGTTTATAAGGAATGCATGGCCATGTACAAAAGTATCTGAACAGCACCTGGGGAACCCCCTTCCAAGAGTCAGGTGCAAGGTAACATCCAAACTCAGACCCTTCCTGCTGTATTTATCTTTCTCAACCTTTGCCTATAGGAACCAATGCCCAGATAGCAACCTACTCCCTGGCCGCCACTTTGCTAGGTCACTCTACACCACTTGGCAAATGCTTGTGAGGGTTTGAAAAGACTGCAGGCTTTAGGACACTGTCAAAAGCCATGGATTTAACAGATTCTCCCCCTGACCAGACTTTTCCACAACCCAGTCACTTCAGAGACAAACCAATGAATGCAACCCAAGAGTACCTCACTAATTCTAATTCTAGTACCTACTGAAGCATCTGTCTATATCTATCTCTTCCTTTAAGAATGTGATGAATCCTTTTGTTTTTTGAGAGTGTCTCACTATATAGACCAGGCTGGTCCTGAACTCAAGGAGACTGGCCTGCTTCTGCCTCTTGAGTGCTAGAATTAAAGGCATCCACTACCATGTCCAGCTTATGAATACTACTATTAAGCAAGGCAAGTGTTTTCCCCAACTGCCTGCAACTAATCAGCTCATCATGGCAAGGGCTGTTGTAGAGAGCTGCGTAGAGCCGCACCTGATGGTGCTGGCTCCCGCCCTACGGGATCCTGAATGAGAGTGCTCTCTGTGATAATCAGCTCCGAATATTGGCTAAGGCCTGACTCATCCTATTATCACGCAATGATCATCAGCTGCTTGCATATGCGTGGACCTATGGGCAGTGCCCACCTGGTAAGCCGGGGTTGGTAGCCCATGCTTTTTTAAGGGCTGGGAGAGGTTTGCGGGGGGGGGGGGGGGGGGGGGGGGGGGGGGGGAAGCTTGCTGTGAACAAGGTCCTGAATAAACTGCTAGCAAGAAGAGCTCCAGTGTTGCATCTTCCTTGCTGGTCAAGGCGGGTGTAACAGGCTGTCTCTAACGTGGGCTGTCCAAGGTGGTTTCCAGCTTTACACTATTGCCTACAACTCTGTGACCCTTATCTTTATGACAGCTGATCTGCACCCAACAGTACCACGACTTTTATCTACAGGTTTAGAACTTTTACTCCTCAATCAGGACACCACTCCTTTAAAATGACTCTGCAAACCCTGTGACTCTGAGCAACTTTGCATCCATCCTGCACAAAGACACATCTTGGCTATGTATAAAGCTCACAACCACCCATCCTGTAACACTGTTCCCTTGGCACCATGGAATATCCTAAGGCCAGCTACCTCAGAGTTCCTGTCCATGTAACTTTTAGGGCTGGGTATTGCTGATGTCATTTTCTTCTGCCTACATGCTACCAAGACTTTTCTTTAGTCTGGGAATTTAAAAATATTGTCAGACGGTGCACCGCTAAGTGTCTCTTGATTCATTTTGCTCATAGCAAGACCCTTTGAATACATTTCCATCTTCTTGCTCTGAAAAATGCTCAGTCACCCTTGATTATTTTTATTCAACTCATTCTGACTTGTTGAGAGATTCTATATGCTGCTGGACTCTCTCCACAGATCCCACCCTCTTGCCTCAGACACATCTGTTGTTTATTCTGCATTCCCAGGCGGCCTCTCTGGTACACTCTGTGTGTGACTCCTGAGATCTTCACACAATCCGCTTTCTTCATTGTGGTCATGATGCCATTCAAGGAAGCTTTAAACATTGTTCTCCACCACTTCCCTTGTGTACCTTCACTGGCCTGATCCTCTTCCTGATCACCCCCCTCCCCCTGCCCACCCACCACACGCACCTTCATTTCTTGAGCTAAACTTTCAAAAACTTTCCTTCTGACTAAGACAGGAATCATGTTCTGAGATGTGTTCTAAGGTATTCCCGAGAATCTTGTTGACAGGCCCCACATGGGGACTGTGGTTTATTCTCAAAGAACAGCTCCTCCAGACCAGAGTACCATCAAAGCCCACCCTGCCATTCCTATAGGAAAGGTCAGCTTCCCAGAGTTACAGCTCCCACTCATGGCTTCCAGAAAGCTCTCTCAGCATCACTAAAGAGGAGCCCCTTCTAACAGAACCCAAGAGTTTCTGTTGTGACACAATATGTATGTTCTGAGAGGACTCATACTTAGCAAAACTGAACACTAGAAAAACCAGGGATTAGAAGGAGAGGAGGTTCATAACCAACACACTACAAAAATGCATTAATAAAAACATCACAGTTCAAAAAAAGACACTAACTAGTCCTAACAAAAAGTCTAATAAATGCAAAATTTTAAGATTTAAAAACAGTGACAACAATTAATTTAAAGAAGAAAATGTTTCTGAGTTTGGGAATCAAGGACAACTAAGCCCACTCTCACATTTACTGTGGCCTGATCTAATTGTCCAGACACCCCATTAAGGGGCAGAGCTTGTCAGACATATTAATAAAAGAGTAATTTTTTGTACCAGATAGAAAGAACTACCATGAGGTGGGACTGGAAATGGTCCAGAGACAGAAGGTCATTCATTTTATGTAACATCAGTATTCCTGCAAGCAACAGAGGCCCAGCAATGTGCTACCTGCAAGAACACATTTTCAGTATAGGCACAAGCCACATAATGATCTAAGTGTCAACAACAGACTGCATACAGCAAATACACCAGTGGTCACATTAAAAAGGATCACCATGTGACACTGTGGTCATCTTAGCCTGTGTAATAGTCACACAATGGCAATGATGACAAAACTACACACAGTACATTCCTTCACAGAGCTGAGCTTGACTATGAAGTCACAAATAAACTAAAGATAGGAAAAGATCGATCACACAGGCCGTGCAGGTTAGCCACCACTGTCCAACTGACTCCACTTAGAATCCCCCAAGAGAAGATGAGGAACCCTTCTGTGTGTCTGTGAGGGCCTTTCTAGAAGGGGGAACTAAGTACTAAGTGCCATCTCAAATAAAGGAAGCATCATCCCATAGACTGAGAGACCCAGAGAATGAAAGAGGGAACTGGAAAAGCCAGCCCAACACCAGCAGCCCACCTTTCTCTGCTTCTAGCCCCCCTGACCTGACCTGCTCTGCTCTGTCACAGCCTCTGAAATCACAAGCTAACACATATCCCTTATATCTGTCAAGTCCTTGGTCACAACAATGATAAAAGTAACTAATACACAAACTACCCCAGAGCAAACTGTGAAAGAGACATTAGCATCAGACAAAATAAACATTAGGATCAAGTCATCACACAGGATACAGAGGCCCAGTTCCTAATGGCAGAAGGATCAGTAAGTTGAACAGTAAATGAAAATCAAATCACACTTTACACTAGAAGCAAAACTAAGAAAAGCATGAAGGAAATGGGCACATCTACTATTACAGCTGAGGAACTCAGGGACAGACACAACAGCAGAAAGAAAGCTAGCAGGATACTAGAATACACACACACCTCAAGGTGACTCAGTGACATTACACAACACTATACAAAAGCAATGGGTGCACTTTCTTCACTGTCCTTTAACATACAGAGCAGGTACTGAGACAGAAAATACAACAAGTCACATAAAATAATAAAACTGGAATTAATTTAAATATCAGTAACAACAGAACGGTATCTTAAAAACCCAAAACATCTACAAACTAAATAACGCATTTCAGTTCACCACATACCTGTGATCCCAGCATTTGGAAAGTGGAGGTAGGAGAATCCACAGTTCAAGGTCATCCTCAACTACATAAAGAGTTGGAGAACAGCCTAGGCTACATGGAACCCCGTCTCAAAATAAACAACAAAGACATTTCATGAATGAAGAAACTGGAAGGTACTTCACAATGAATGAAAATAGAAACACAAGATATCAAAATATGGAATGTCCTGAGGGAAATTCTCAGTACTGAATCTCTGTATTAAAAAAGACAGTCTTGATTCAGTGATGGTAGGCTTTACTTTAAGAAATTAGAACAGAACAAACTAAATGCCAAATAAACAACAGAAAGTCAATGGCAAAGAGTAGAAATCAATTCAATGAAGAAGAGAAAAATAAGGCCAAGCTCCATGGGGCACACCTGTAACCAGTCATTCAGGAGGCTGAGGAAGGAAAACAATGAACTCAAGCCTGTACTATACAGTGAGCCCCTATCAGGAACACAGAAGGGGAAGAAGGAAGAAAATGAATGTGGCTGGCAAAGCTTTAGCCAGACTAATGATGAAAAACTAAAAATTCACGTTATCAAAAGGGGATGAACACAGACCACACAAACAGTAAAAGGACAAAAGGGATAGCATCAGAGACAACTTTATGCTAAGGACTTACATAAAATTAACAAGAGCCTTGAAAGACCTAAATGTCAGTTATTTGAGAAGACGGAAACATAGGGCCCATCTTCTGG